AAAATAATATATAATATATTTGACCCAGTCTATTGACAAACTAGATTAATTTATTCATTGTTCTTTTGAAAAGTATTGCAACACTTCTTTTTAATTCCCTTGTTAAAAATACTAAGGATTTGAATCAAACTTTTACCTATTTGATAGGTAAAAATATCTTTACTGTATTTTCAGTATTTAATGCCATTCTTTTTGGGGGGATTGTGGTGTACCACTTAGTAAAAACTTAATGTGAAGTTGAGCATAAATGTGAGGTTGAATATTTTGGGGTCTTATTGTCTTGACTGTTGTATGTATTCCATTGACTTTTTTCTAATATGGACATCCTTATGGAAATTCAAATAATACAGCAAGAGCTGAATGCTACCTCTGTAAATATGTTTTAAATGTTTCTTCAGAGAAACAGGCATAACAAATGTTGGTGTCTGTCAGATAGTAGGAAGCATCAGTGTTTCTGAATGAAGTTATCTTTTCCTGTAGTCATGTCAAAACAATGCAAATTCCAAATCAGCTCAATGAGCTTGTACTTAATCAGTAAGCTGTCTAAAAAATATTACATTCATAAACATTTACCTTGTTCCATTTTTCAGCAAGTCCTTTTTAAGTAAGGTCTCACTTCCTTGCATTTCAATCCACATATTCAACCCCTTTTTGGCGTTCAGTACTTCTGGGTGGTGGTCTCTGTGTAGATGTAGATCTAGACTTGACTGAGTATACAGTCTTAAAATGCCTGGGAACGAGTACCTCCTTCCTTTTATTTCAGAACTACATCCCATTGTTGAACCACTCCATCATGGCATCAGCTCTTTCTTTCAGTTCAGAGAGAGAGGGTAAAGGGCACCTCATTTCAAATTCCCTGCTGTCTTCTTTTTTTGCTTAGAACCAAGTTAGCTGCATGCAACTCATCTCTTGGTAAATATAAGAAGACTATCTAGCAAGAAGACTGAACTTCTGTCTTTGGAATGAGGTGTATCCATGTTCTCTATTAGTAAATAACATAGGACTATATTGTAATTAAGATAATAGTTTTGTACCATTATTGTAAACAACTGCTGGACAACAGTTGGAAGAGTTGCAACATAAAATGGGAAGTTTGCCCTTTGAATGGTCACCCTGGTGGGGTATAAATTTCCACTTCCTCCTTTATAACAGTGAAGGTACATAAGTGTTGGACAGTCTGTAAGGTTGTATATGTCAGGTTTTCTTGAATTCTCTTAAAGACAAATTTTACATAAGTTTGTTTACATTATTACAAATGAGGAATTTTCAAGGAATCCTTGCTTCCAATCTTTTTCATGAAACTTAAACTGCAGAGGCAAGTTCACAGTAAGATTACAGATTCTGGATGTTACATATACTTGTTGCAAAGGTTAATGTGCCATTCAGTCGTGACACTGCAGCACATACCTGCTTGAATGAGTTATTTACAAACTTATACAGCTGTTATCCTTAACTCCAAGCACATTGGTTTTTGTGCTATTTCTTGGCAAGTTGCAGTGAAAAATCTTACCAAACCAGTCTCTTTTTTGTTAGTTTAGTTTACTGGTACAGGTATTAAAGGTTTGAACTTGAGCCGTAAGAAAACATAGGTCACTTTCTAAATGTTAAATTGACAACTGAAATGGAATCTTTGCGTAAAGAATAACGAACTGTGGCTGCAGGCTTTCCATTCAAAGATCCAGTGTTAGCAGACTTCTAGCAGTTCTTGTTAATGAAGAAATTCCCTGGTTAAAGATATAATTAATTTTAGAACAGCTTAATCTAACACAATTAGTGCATTTTGATTGCCCTAAAATGACAGAACTGACTGTTTTCATCAGCTTTACAACATCTGCATCTACAGAAGTAGCTAGATGAAATTATAGAAGATAGTGGAGCTTTCAGAGCCCTTCTAGCATCACGTGTTCCTTCATTAGAGCTCATACAGCAGAGTAGTGCCAGTTGTACAAGGAGCCTTTCGGTTGTCAGATGGGATTCAGACTGAGAGAAGAGAAGAATCGCTGGCTCTTCTTGGAAAGGTGAGGAGAGAGAAGAGATGTAACTTTACAGTGCATTAGTTGGAGCTGATAGTTTTGGATGACCTGTTTCTTTCTTTGGTACAGGCTCTTATCCCTGTGTTGACTGACATTAACAGTACAATTCAGTTGTCCAGTTGCAAGTTGCTAGTGGCATTTAAGAAGCATTAGTGTGCTCAGAATATCCGCGTGGCAGATGCAGAGCGAGAGCTGTGCTCTGAGCTGGCTGCTGGATACCACGTGCAATACACAAGGGCATTTTGGGTTGTGCCCTAAATGGTATTCTCACTAGATACCTATACGTAGGCACCACATAAATCATCAGAAGTGATTGTGAAGAGATCGTATACTTTCTAATACAAATTAAGCATTCTTATACTTTCTTCTTTCACTGACTTGGAGAAACAAGAAATATCTTTTCAATATAAGAAGCTATTTTGTCTGGTAGTGAGAGGTTTGTAATCTATAATTGGTTTTGGAATTCAATAAATACACTGTTTTATAGATTAAATATTAGATATTTTTATACTAAATATACCAAATTCAGTCAGAATTAAACATAACATTTTTATCTTGGAAAAATCAATTTTCTTCACATATACATCTTGTCTTCAATTCTGAATCTGTTGCTTATGTTCTTCCTCAAAATCATGGTCTGGAACATGTTTACAATGGACAAAAAGATGAAAACTAAGTAAAAAGCTTTTATTGTATAATTCTTTTAAATAATACCCGAGGAAGTTACACATACTAAAATAGGTCTTACTACAAATCCTGAACTGAGATTTCCACATGCATTTAAAAACAGCTTTTAACCTGGACTAATGGAAATAACTTATTGGGTATTCTGAGGTATCTGAAGTAAATGAGTAGTTTCTGAAATAATATAAAGTTTCCAGTGAACGAATACTTCTGTTGATAACCTTTCTTCTTCTTTTGGGACCTTTTCCAATGTAGTCTTCCCTCTGCCCCTATCTTTTCTTTTAAAATAAAGGGTTTTTTTTAATCTGAGGGTCTACATTTTCCTAGCTGTAGATTTTAAAAATGCCTTGTCTGTCTGTACTAGGTTTTTTTGGAATACTGATTTACCTCCTGTTACCTGAAATGTTCAGGGGACGTTAGTAGTCCATAACTGACACTTAGCCTTTCCTCAGCTGCGGCAGACCTCATCGGGCACCTCAGAAGAATTGGAACACCTGCCACTTTGGTGGCAATCTGAGCAACTTGCATGAGAACGGCTGTCCAGGCAGATCTTGTAAATGGGGGAAAAGGGGAAATAAAATAAAATAACCTTGCTCTTTGGAACCAATGTAAGGGTTTGATTGCCAGTTCTCAAAAGCATTGCTAGCTATCTGGCTGTGTTGTACCAGTCCAAGGAACAGGTCTCTAGTCTGGTTTTGCACAGGGTAACTGCTAGTGCTCTATTAAGTGCTGATGCTGGGTTTCTGAAATGAAACAAGGTGTTAATCCAATTATATACTGTATTTGTACTGCTGATGGTAATGTTACTTAAAGATAGCAACGTTTTATTCTCTATTCTTCCCAAATGTTTGGAAGTCTATGTTTGGAAGGGGTTTTTGATGCTTGGTGACACTTCTGTTTGAGCTGATACCTCATTAGCTGGACTGCTAAAATAATGTCGAGGTATCAAAAGCTGTAACTTACAGGATTCTTAGAAAATGGCAGGCATGACTTTAGGTGTCCCAGATCCAAGGTAACTTTTTCCTCTATGAAATAAAACTTGTAAGTCAGTTGAGGGTAATTCTGCAGCTGTGAACAGGAATGCTGGCTCAACCTTTCTTTCCCCTCCTCTGCATTTAATTCAGGCATTTTTTAGCATGTGTAGCATTCCAGTTGGAGGCTCCTGGGTTGGAACCTTGCAAACTAACATCTGCTGTCTGTAAGCACCTAGTTCTTTCACCGACTTAAGGAAGGATTTTGATTGTGGTTAGAAAGCCAGGTATCTGTACAGGCACTTTTACAAAGGTGATGAGGAGTAAAATGAGGGTTAGAGTTTCTTGGGGTGGTTTTGGGCCTTGGGGTTCCCCTCCCCTCAATTCTGTTTGGAAATGAGAGATGGAATTCAGGGATCTTGAACATATTTAATACTAGGATAAGCCTCTTATAGCATTAACCAGTGTTTTAACATTTGAACAGCGACCCTGGGGTGAAAGGCTTCATGTTTAATTGCTAATTTTGAGTTGCTACAACTCTATTGTTACTTTGCTTGTTATCTTTGTTTCTCTGCTTTATTGGACTTTCTTTTGGAAACTAAGTATTAGGTAAATTCTTCTTTACTGAAGCTAAGTGCATGTAAATAAATAATTTCTCTTGTTACTGGTCATCTTTTTTTTAGTAGTATGGTATATCACAGATTCTTGAGAAGCAGATTTTGAAGCTCTCATGCCATGATTATGTGTAGTTTACAAAAAAAAAAAATCCCCCTGCAGGAATCATTTACTACCTTTATAAAATCAAGCATTTTAAGAATTTAAAAAAAAAAAAACAAAACACACACACAACAAACCATCTTCACTGTGACTAAATTGGTGGTGGTTTGTAAAAAAAAAAAAGTTGTCATGCTTATTGCAAAAGTTTGAAGCTGTGAAACTAGAAATATTTCAAAAGCAATTTCTTTCATGACCTGTGTGTTAAGCTAGATGTTGAAGTTTTTTCTTCTGAATCTGATAATATAACCTGAGTTATTTCAGATGTTTCCGAGAAGCTGTCTAGTGTATTAATCTTGAAACTTCATACATTGAAGACTGAAGTTGTTTTTATTTTTTTAACATCCTAGAAATCTTTCTAAATGACAGGTTTTTTTGGAAATACTCATGAATTTTTCCAATGTGCTCTCATTCTTAACTAGCTTATTCAGCCTGTCATCAGAAATCTTTTTGAAGGTGCGTTGTAACATATAATACCAAGAGGTTGAAGTCATCTGAGGATGACTCTTATATGTGATTTCATTGTACCTGACTGTCAAACGTGTACTTATCTGTTTAGGTTCAGACAAAGAAGGAAGAAACTTTGCAACCATCACTTAGTCAAAACATTCCAACTTTCTATTTTCCTCGAGGATGTCCTAAGGAAAAAGTGAATATAGATGCTGTGATTGCCAAAATTGAGAGAACTTTCTCTGAGTTTCCAAATGAGAGGGCAACATTAGAAGACATGGGGAAGGTTGCAAAGGTGAGAACTTGTTGGCTGTTTGCTTTTAGTACTGTACACCTATGGAAAGGAAACATGAGTTCTGTGTTTTGTTTTTTGCATTATGTGTCTTCATCTCCTATAAGGGAGTACCAGTAAGACATCACATTCAACATTGTTGGTGGCACAGTTATGTGTGGAAATCTTTGCATTAACTATGTCTCAAATGGCCCTGCATTTTGCTTACAAAAAGAAACAAACATTAAAACAAAACTTGAACTGTTATTTTTATTTGCATAAACAACCAAATACTGAAGGGCAGGCTGTATGTTTTTCTGTGTTCTGTATTGACCAAAAGCACTGCTAATATACATTTTGTTTTCGGGCATCCACACAGTGTTTTTCTCATTTGGCAGTGTCATGAGCCTACATTGTAAAGACATTGAAAGACAGAGATTATAACTTGAGATTATAGCCCTCTAGTCACTACTGTATAGCTAACTTAGAGTTATGGTAGAATGACAAAATACTGAGCTTAGAAAGCAGCAAATATTTTTAACTTCTGCGTAAAAGACAAACTACTTAAGTTTAATTTTCCATTTTATTATATTGAATCAATGCCTGAAATGTTATCACTGCAAGTCATGGTCTTGGTCATGAGTGGCAGGTTCTCATCCCTGGTCCTGTCACTTTAAATGCAAAGTCCAGGGTCAAAGACTTTTCACAAGAGCAGGACTGGAGTCCAGAAACAAGGAGTTCAGAAACTCCTTGTTTGCCTTGCCAGAAGTCTGTAACTGCTCATCTGAATGATAGGGTTCCTGCCTTCCACAGCTCCTTTCCACAGAGAAGTGGGGAGAGGTGGAAGAGATCCTTCCCTCTCAGCAAGAAAGGTGGAAGAGTCCAGCCATGCACTATTTGGTGATGAAAGGCACCCTTCTGAAGTGTAGGGA